TACAGTAAACACCCGCATAAAAGAAACTGCGGATTAAAAACCTCCAGGCTAAAATTGGACCAATAAAGCACCTAGTATATAAGAACCACTTCAGCCTGATAAAAGCAGGTTCTTGCTTTAATGAAAAAAATACCGAAAATTAGCTGTTTTATGTTACTGTAATGCAGTTATGGTCTACTATACTGTCTACTATTAGTCAAATCAATTTTCACAACATTTGACCTTTCATTGTGTTTAATAAGATAAGTAAATTAAAGGTGATAAATAAATTAACTCAAATGAATTTAAACAGACATATAATTTCTAATATTATGCAGTTGGTTAATTAATTAGTGTCAATTATTCTCTAATTAAAGCCAATTTTACCTAGATAATGTACACAATATCCCCCCCCCCCCAAATAAGAACCTCTTCAGGGCTGATTTCTCACTATGTATCATATATATAAGAACCACTTCAGCCTGAAACAGAAAATCACGGGTGCTTTTATGCGGATGTTTAGTGTATGTAGTATATTATATCTACGGTCACACATCTCTAGGGAACGACCGCTGACGGAAGCGTAGATCATAAGATGTCCCCACGCTAAAAGCAGCCATTATTGACTATAACTATTACTCACTATTAACGGTGAGGTAGGTTATTCGCTCTCTCTATCTGCTGAGTGTTGTTTACTCGCTCGTACTTTCCCGGGAGATGCAGAGCGCGGATGTGCGGCGCGATTGTTGGCTTCAGGAAATTATCAACACTTTGTGCGTGACTCCACAATGCTGCCTAATCAATTCCGACGTGCGCCATTATCCCTGAATGCCCGCATGCAGCCGAGTTGTGAAAGTACACAAGGGGGAGAAGGATACAGTATTTCACGGAGGAGAAGGGGTGAAGAATGATGTAACAGAGTGGAATAAAGGATACACTATTACACTGGGTGGCAGTGGAAGCAGCATATACAGCGTTAGAGTGGGTGGCAGTGGGGAAGTACAGTAGTACACTAGGTGGGAGCGAATGGGGATGGCCAATGTCCTTTATACATCTAATGTACGCAATACATGCTTTCTTGCTTGTAATCATACAAGCCAAGTGTCTGAATCTCTCTCTCTCTCTCTCTCTCTCTCTCTCTCTCTCTCTCTCTCTCTCTCTCTCTCT